ACTCTGCGGGTACTCCAACACCGCAAGGTCTATGAGCATCATCACCTTTATTTTGAGGTCTTTAAAGAGCTGGGTGCTCGAGAGGCAATGGAGGCTAATGTTCGCGCCTATTGCTGGCGCCACCTCCTCTGCCTCTCTGAGCCGACTTATCAGGAGCTCTTATTGGAGTTCTATGCCACCTTCGAGCACTACCCGACCCGAACGGGCGCCCACGACAACGCCATCCACTTCACCCTCGGCGGGGAGTCTCACTCCCTCAGTTATGATGATTTTGGTCGGGCCCTGGGGATTCTCACGCCATTTTCTTGCCGCCTCGCCATCGAGGAAACCGACACTCCTGCCTTCCAGGACCAGCGGTTCTTCGGGAGGATCTGCCTTCCGGAGTTTGCGAGCGTTGTGTTCACACTGTGTGCGACCACCGCTACTCAGCTGCACCCTGAGTAGCGCATCCTCAACCAGCTATTGGGCAAATCCTATGCCCCTAGCGCGAGCTTCGCCAGTCATCTCCAGCTCCGCACCTTGTCCTTCCTGCACTCGATGAGCCAGGAGGAAGATAATCTCCACTTGGCCTCTGTCATTCCCAGGACCGTCTCTAAGGCTTCTCGCTGCGGTCGTGCTCTTGCTTCTGGGTCAGTGGTCACTGCTCTGGCCTGGTACTTCAAGATCGACCTCACCGGCTTCACTGTGGTCCAGGCCCCAACACCTTTTTCCCCGGACATCCTGCGGCACTAGCTGTCACTTCAGCGCGACGGGGACGTGACCTAGATTCAGGGACTCCCTCGCCCTCTTCCTCGTGACCTAGAGGACGTTGATTCCCCCGAGGCGAGTGATACAAGCGCTCGTCGTGGACCCCGTCGGACTACCCGCCTAACAAGGACTTCTGCAGTTGGTGTATCCACTTCTACTGCTGGCCCTTCTGTTGTCGCCCCACGACATACATTGCTGAAAAGCTAGCGGCCATTGCTCGTCAAAACGAGCAGATTTTAGCTGGCCAGTAGCACTTCAACGCCCGCCTCGATCGTGAGCGCGATGGTCATTGCCGCATCATTTCGGCCTAGCACTACATGATGCACTTCTGGGACATGAATCCAGCTACTGTTAGCTACGCATGGCAGCCTTCTCCTGGGCATGAGGATGATTATCCACCTCCGGCTGGCGATGGTGGAGACGAGAACTAGGCTGGTTCCAAATGATCCCCCAGGGGATGCTTGGTTATTCATTTTCCTTTCGTTCCAGACTGAGACTCCCTGCCATTTTTACTTTTTCTTTTTATTTGGATTGTAGACTTGAAACTATGGCTTCTTCACCCAATGTGTGTGTTTTCATAACTCTATCTTTGTGACTTTGGACTGGTCCCCTTTCAGTCCCCTGCTCTTGACATGTCTGTCCTCCAGTCACCATTCCTAATCATCCTTTCACGGTAACATCGTTCCCCTTCCCTCTGCTCCATTGAGTGGAATGTCGACCTTAAGTGTGTTTGTGTGTGGGGGGGGGGGGTGCTTTGTATTTATTGGAACATATATGTGTGTACTTAGAGCCTAGTCCGCTGTCCAAATCTCGAGATTTGACGGTTCCAAGTATTGATGTTTGCATGATCATATTGGCACTGTGGATTATGTGGTGAGTCAAATGGTTGTTAGAATTGATGCATGACAACTTGATTATGACTAGGACAACCTATAATGATGACTAAGACGTGCAGTAAAGTTATGTAGGGGTTCAGTTTTTCAACTGTTTGCTTACCAACTATGATTGGATTGATTACTTATTTTCTACAATCGTTTATGCATCTAGTTCAGAGAATCAGAATGAGAGATGGAGCATATAGGTAGCCATGTGAGATTTGCGCCTCCTTGTTTCTTTCTTGTGCGATAGATCCCTCTTTCACTATGTGTAGCATTCACGTTGTCACTAATTAGGATGATGGAGGCATAGGAATAGCCCACGACCAAATTGACTGTCCTAGTGTGTCAGACCCACTAGTCAGCCCCTTTGAGCCATGTCACTTTCTTTATTCGTGTCTACGATGAAAAATCACCCTTTTGCATCTCTTAGAGGTTCCACAGAGTGGTTTTTGCATGTTCTCTGCTGTTTGTGCTAGTAATAATATAAGGGTTGGAGGTAGTTCTTGAAAGTTGCGCATTTGTTTGAAAAATGTGCAGAGGTGGTGGTTCTCTCAAGAAATGCAAAGAAAATAATTAAAAAAATGAATAAAAGCAAAAGAGAGCCTCTACCAAAAATCTGAATCATGCTCACTAGATAGTGTTTCTTCGCAGTCTGGCTTAGCAATACTAACATTATTGTGACCTCTTTCAATCTTGTGCTCTATAGAACTTGATCAATGCAGAATGGCAGAAATAAAGTAAAGGGTTTGAATAATGGTAATTGTGTTGGGTTTGGAACTATAGAAGCTTGTGTTATGAATACTTCCACCACCTAAAAGGTCTTTTCCCCATGTCCAAGACCCTAGCCAATCATCTGAACTCGTGTCTAAGACCTGCGGACTAGTTAGTGGTGACACCCTATATATGAACTCTAGCATTTAGAGGCTGCCGTCATGGTGAAGAGGCATTAGGAATTGAGAGAATAAGCATGCACATTTTTCGCATCAAATTTTCCTGACCCCACTGGTCGAGAGTGAGCGATTCATTTCCTTATATTCTTTACATTCTTTATAGATTGCTTGGTCTTGATTCTGAGGTCTTGAGTTCTATGCATGAGGTGACTGTTTTGAATAAGTGGTTGAGTCAAGTCTATGTTGGTTGGTTGAGTTTAAGAGTGGGGGAATTTGATAGCGTCGTATTTGCACATGTTTTCACCCTCGTTTCCTGACCATTTTTAACTCGAATTTGTGGTTCCTTGGCCTATTTTACGCTAGGTTGTGTTATTTTGTCATATTTCAGGTCCTAGCGAGTAAAGGGAGGCATAGACGCAAGGTTCGGGTCATTTGGAGGTCATTTGGCGATTCAAGGTGCAAAATACTGTTGTCCCCTGAAGGATTACGTTCGTATTTTGCTTTCTCCTCACCGTAAAAGTTATGCCGAGCCAAACCTGTGAAGATGCCTGAGGAAGTGAAAAATACGGGCAAGACCAGATGGGAATATGGTTGTAATTTGGAGATTACCAGCAGCATTTTGGTATATACGACCGTATTTCCCCCCTCATCAGCAGTAAGTGAAACGCGCATTTTGGGCAAAATATCGCGGTCAAATTACGATCGTATTTCTTCCCGTATTTCGCGCAGAATCGGGTTGTAAAGGGGCAGATTCGAGCCAAAGGAAGGGGATTCGAATTTTTGGAGCAAAAACAGAGTTCTAGAGAGAGAAAGTACGAAGAACAAACCCTAAGAGCTATTTTGGAGTAGATTTTTCACCATTGAAGCCCATATTTCATCCCCAAGAGTGAAGATTGACATCCAGAGCAGATTATTTCCATCTTTATGAGTATGACTGCTTTGATTTCTGTTTTCCTCTCTCTCTCTCTCTCTTTCTATGGAGTAGACCTTTCTCTCACTTGGGTATGAACCCTAGTTCCATGTATTAGGAATCTTGATTGTAATGACTTTTGGATTGATATACTGTTTGATTATAATCGATTGAGGTGTGTTTATTGAGTCAATTGCATCTTGATCAACTTCTCTTGATTTCTGCTTCAACCTGTGATAGATAGGATCTGAATAGGTTGTTATAGCTTCTTCAACTGGTAGTAGTGAATTGATTACACGAGAGTTAGTCGATTCACTGTTTTGTACGGGAATCCAATTCCAGTAGTGGAGTTCTTGTTAATTGCCTTAGTTTTCTATCTTGTTGAAGACTAGTCGTCTGCCGGTTAGTCTGTCTAAGAGGGCCTGGTCAGCTTAAGAGATTCCAAGCTACTATCGGATCTTCTGCAAATTAATCAACAATAAATCAACCAAAGGAAATTACAACTTGGACCTAACTAAGGAGCTAGGGGGACTCATTCCCGAGTGACTCTTCTCTTGCTTTAGGAAACCAGACAATTTACTGCTTTCTTTCTGCTTTACTTTAAACTCCCCAACATTCACTTAGTCCCGCTAGATAATTGATAATCACGGAGTAGGCAGTACATCTAGGCCCTGCGTTGACATTTATTAGTTGATTCCACTATACTGCATTTCCATTCTAGGATTATTTGGTCGCAGTTTGGTGTTGTGTCGTAGCGTGTCATAAAGGCTAGGTGTTAAACTTATTTAAAAACCTAAAGACAACAAAGTGAAACTTTTATTGTGCACAATTTTTTTTTCAGGATGTACTTTCTTTTTAGATAACATCAGCATAATACTAGCATATACCTGAATGAGGTTCAAGAGTGAAAATTCAAATATTTGATAAATAATCACCTAAGAAATAAATATATTTTAGATCAATGAAAAGGAGAGGCAATTGTATATCATGATTATTATGTAATTATTGGAGCCTAGTCATTTGTTTAACTTAATTTAGAATATGTATTAAACAACATTTTTAAAGAAAAAAGAAAGAAAGGGGAACCAATAATGTCAAATAAACACACAAAAATATTACCTTTTTCATATATTTTTCTTTTTGTGTTATAAGAGGTAAGCAAGTCCTTTATTGAAAGAGACCCCCATATTGTAGTACTTGCACAGTTGTAACAAAAATTAAAATGAAGAAATCTAAAGGTCAAAAGTCAAACCCTCAGGTTTCCTCCCCTCCCTTCATGTTCTCATTCATTATGAAAAATTATAAAACATGTGGCTTAACCAAATCCAATTCTAATAGAAAACCCCTCTAAAATTTTTGTTATAGTTCCCCTTTGCGTGATTTTTCGAAACTTTTGATCCCTTTTCTCTCTCCCGCACCCTTTTCACCTTTCCTATGCTCTGTTGTTGATTTTTCTCTCACCTCATTTGTTGTTTCTCAAAATTGTGAAACCCTCTCTATTTTTCCTTGCCGCCTCAAGAAATCCTCATTTATCACCTCCAAATCTTTATTGGAGAAAATCTTGGGTAAAGATTTCTGGGTAATTCTTCTTAGAGGCGATGAATGGCTGGATTTCTTAGTTCAACGAAGCAACATTTTTTTCACGCTTGTATTTAAGATTTTGGTCATACAGCGGAAGAATATAACTAATTAGATGAAATGCGCCGATGAGAGCAAAAACACCAACTTTGAAAGGAGGCACATTGGCTAGTCCTTTTTCTTTTTGGGTTATCTGAAATTGTGATCATTCTTTAGTTTTAGGGTGGGGAAAGAGAGGGATTTCTATTGTGGGATTCGGGTGTGGGCATTTCTGGTTTAGGACAAAAAGAAAACATTGGGGTTTTGTGTCTTCTCTAGCATTCTCGCTTTTCCTTAAAAGAACTTGTATATGTTAGATTCGATGAGATGAGAAGGGTAGCAAGTGAATGGGGTTGTGGCTTTAGAGGAAATGGGATTAAGAACACTTGGGTACATAATGGTCTGTGTGATGCTTCTTTTTTTGGTGGCCATGGTTGATTCTGCAAATCATCGACCTGAGGTGAAGGAAGAAAAACTGGTAATGTTTCTTTTCTTTTTCTTTGTATATTTTTCCTTTCTCTTGCTTACCGCTTCATTAAATGCTTGTTGTTACATATATAGATTTTGATGTTAAAGCCTTGTTGAATGCTATATTTTTAATGAAGATAAAACCTTATTAGATATAATGTGTTGACATTTGGTGGCCTATTCAATTATCATTGTCATCATGTCAAGTTGAACAAATTAGAAAGATATGTAGATATTGCAAGGGTCATTTTGGGGCAAAAATACTTACAATTATGGAAAATGAATGAGTATATTGGTAAAATTTGCTTATTTCTTCATGAGGATATGAAGTATTATATACATATACAGGCAAAAGAGGCATGGATCCGATGCAGGAAACATATAGGGGACAATAAAGGTTTTTCGAAAGATTGTGACTTGTACAATCTACTGCAATCAATGAGTGAATCGGAATCATCTTCATTGGCTAGAAAAAGCATGCACAATGTCATCAGAGTTATGCCCATACAAATGAAAAGAGAACTCCTTCATTGCGTGAGAAACAAAAATCTTCTTTCTGATGATTTTGCTGATGGTGGTAGCAGCTCTACGCGATGGCTCATAGAGTGTTTTCGCATAGCTTTGAAATGTCCTATTAGTACTCAAAGAAGATATATGTCTAGTAAGCGTAATGTCAAAACTGCGTTGAATTCTCTATCACCTGTAACATCTCAGTCGGATAGCCCTGCAATTTCTATAAGGTCTCAAGCTTATGGCTCAACCCCACCCTCTCTACATGAATCATCACTTATCACCACTTCACATTACAATCCTCTGGGCCTACTATTTTATGAAGCAAACCTTCATCAACGTCGGGAACTCGAGTCATCATCAACACCCTCTGTTTCAGACTCTAAGAAAAAACGCAAGAAACATAAAAAGAAATCAAAGGAAGAAATTGAGAGACAAACACTTGTTGCTATTATAGCTACTTCAGTAGCAACCTTCTTGATTGTTGCAGTATTATTTTGTTGCTGGATTTGCTTAAGGAATAGTGAAGCTGAAATTAATTATATTGAAGAGAAGCGAGATGAGAGGCCTCTACTCCACTTGCGTGATTCTTTTGCTAGTAAGTCTTTTGTCACCTTGTTATATTCATTTTAAATTCACTAATTAGCATTTTCTATAAAAGAAAGTTAACGCTTGCATATTTTCTAGGTTCATCTCTAGCTTCTGCAAGTATGGCTACTTCGAGTGCTAACGACCCAAAGTCTAGTGGTGTTGTAAACGCTACACTTGTAAGCAACCTATCTATGCAACAGGAGAAACAAGAAGGTGTAACACTAGAGGGACAATCATCAGAGACAAAAGAAATTGCAGGAGATGAACTTCCACCTCTAAAACCTCCACCAGGAAGAACAGTGGCACCCCCACCACCAGCGGCACCTGCTCCACCGCCACCTCGTCCACCTCCCCCAGGAGCTCCAGGACCTCCAGCACCCCCAAAACCCCGCCCCCCACCTCCTCCTAAATCAAATTTAAGGCCTTCACCTCTTGGACCAAAGAGGCCTAATAAGAGTGGCTCTAACGATGATGGTACCGATGATGGAGGTCAAAAAACTAAATTGAAACCTTTCTTTTGGGATAAGGTTATGGCCAGTCCTAATCAATCCATGGTCTGGCATGAGATTAGTGGTGGATCTTTCCAGTAAGCATATAAAAATCTTTAAACTTTTTGAGTTTCTGTTTATGAAAGCTATTCTTCTACATCCATCTTTGTTTTGCTTTTAACATCCTTTTATCATTGGCTTTACAGGTTTGATGAAGAGATGATAGAGTCACTTTTTGGCTATAATGCCAATAAGAATAACAATGAGCGTAAGAGAGAGGTAGTTGACAATTCAGTTCAGTACATTCAAATTATTGATCCGAGGAAGGCTCAGAATCTATCTATACTTTTGAAAGCATTGAATGTGACTACAGAAGAAGTTCTTGATGCTCTTAGAGAAGGTAACTTTTTATTCTCTCCTAATATTTTCTTTCTGAACTAAAATTCACGAGTCCTTACGCTTGAAATCTTGTTGAATGCAGCTAACGAGCTTCCAGTGGAGCTTCTCCAGACTTTGTTGAAGATGGCACCAACCGCAGATGAGGAATTAAAGCTTAGGCTATATGCGGGTGAGATTGCTCAACTAGGCCCTGCTGAACGTTTCCTCAAAGCATTGGTGGAGGTCCCTTTTGCTTTCAAAAGAATTGAATCCCTAGTGTTTATGAGTTCCCTTCAGGAAGAAGTTACCACTCTCAAAGAAGCCTTTGTGACCCTAGAGGTGAGGGAATGAAATAGTTTCTCTTTTTAATATGAAACATGAAAACAGCTAGTGGAAAAACTAATAAACTTTCAAAGATTTTCTAACGTAGTCTAGTTAACCACAAACCCAAGTAGACATCGTTTTAATTAGTATTTGTTTCTATTTTCCACTATTAAAAATTTATACATTCAAAATGTCAGGTAGCTAGCAACAAGCTCAAAAATAGCAGGTTATTCTTGAAACTACTGGAAGCAGTCCTCAAAACTGGCAATCGAATGAATGATGGCACATACCGAGGTGGTGCATTAGCATTCAAGCTCGACACTCTTCTAAAGCTCTCAGATGTCAAAGGAACGGATGGAAAGACAACTCTTTTACACTTTGTTGTTCTAGAAATCATTCGTTCTGAAGGCATTCGAGCAGTCCGAGCAGCAAAGGCAAACGCAAGCGTCTCTAGCGTGATGTCAGATGACCTCAGCGAGGACCCCAATGATAAGGCAGCAGAGGAACACTACTGCAACATTGGTCTTCAAGTAGTTTCGAGCTTGAGCAACGACTTTGATGAGGTGAAAAAGGCAGCTGTATTGGACGCTGACATGTTGTCATCTACACTGGGAAAACTCAGGAAATCATTAACGAAGGCTAAAGCTTTTGTGGAGTCAGACATGAAGAGCGATGAAGAGAGCGAGTTTTATGCAGCACTCGTTGGCTTCATGAATCGAGCTGACTCAGATATTGCCTGGCTTTCAGAGGAAGAGAAGAGGATAACATCACTAGTACAGAGCACAGCAGATTACTTCCATGGCAAGTCGGGTAAGGAAGAAGGCTTACGACTTTTTAGCATTGTTCGGAGTTTCTTGACAATGCTTGACAAGGCATGTAAAGAAGTGAAGGAAGCGAGAGCTAAGAAAGTGCCTGCAACGAAAGTGTCGATCAAGAAAGATAACTTAGGTGAGGCGTCAAGTTCAGGAATTCAACAACAACAACAACAGGTTGAGAATCAAAATCATCATAAACGGTTGTTTCCAGCCATTGCTGAAAGGCGGAATAATGAGTCTTCTAGTTCAGATGATGAAAACTCAAGTGATGAAGATTAGCTCTCCCTTTTCCTCTCTTCTTAGCTTTTGTATGATAGATACCAAAACAAAAAGGCCAAATCTTTCTCAGTCTACAATCTTGTACATGTACACACTTTCTTGTTTGTATATTCACCCAAGTTAGAGAAGGAAAATTTTTCATTTTTATTTTTTGCTAGAGTCTATTTATCAATTTTTAGAGACAAAGATGGTATTGAAAATCCATTACAGAAATGTAAATTGCACCTCACTAATTGATAATTGTACGATTATGTCTTACTCAAATGCCTCATTGTTTTGTACTAGTGTTTTTTAGAGTCGATCGATTATTTGTAGCACTACTCGCCTGGAGAACTTATTTTCATGTCCATTCTTAACTTTTAATGGTCTTTGTTGCTTCTCTAACCATCAATGAATCTTACTTTATAATCAAACTAAATAAATATTTTGAGTTCGACAAAATGTGCATCCCAAAATATTGATGGTGGCTATCAAAAGAGCCAGCGCAACATGAGACTTGAGGTGAAAATAAATTTAACTCATTGGTTCCCCAGTTGGCAAGCAAGTTTAAGAATCTCAGTGACTAACTCCATAAGCATAATTGTCCAAAATTTATTAAGAAACCTCCTAACAAGCAATGGCGAGATGTTATTATGGTGCATCTTTTAGCCTCATATTTGATAAATTGAATCAACAAACAATTAAAGTTCAAGGTTACCCACCCTGGTGGGGACTGCCGCCATACATAACTCTCTCTCTCCATCGTCCAACTAGATGTCAAGATATGTTACAAGCTATTATCTTTTGGACAAACTAGTTAAGGGACTTGGTTGAACCAACAAAGATAGCTTCATTGCCAAATCTCCTAAGGAAGCAAGAATGCAATTCCATGGCATACCTATTGATTAGGATCGGGTTTTTAGTCGTAAATACATCTATGAAGGGTATATCAATTCTGTTAATCCCATGGGTAGTTAAAAGTGATAAGCTTTCATTTTCTTTGCTTTTAAACACAAGTATTTCCGAATTTAAATTCAAGTGTAGTTCGTGTTTAAGGTTTCACACTTATTTCATAACCCCAAACACTGGTAAAAGAAATTGAGAGTGACTATAAACCTAGTAATAACTCATACAATGTCTTTTGAATCATTGATGTGTTGATAAGCAATATCAACGATACATAGAAAATGAAACTCTCTTAAGTCGTATTCCCCAAGGTCCATTGTTGTAATACTCAAGAAATGCAAACAATTTTCTGAAAGATGGTCATTAGAGGTTAGCTTCCAAATTTGGCATTGACCTAGGAAAAGAAATTTCTATAAAAAATCATCTAAACAATACCAAAATAGTCAGATTTTATAATTATGAGCAAATTTGTGTTTGAGCATTTCCATTTGAATTTATGATTTGTATATCATTAGTTTAGAGAAAAATATTATGATTATTATGTGAATTTAAATGTATGATTCAAACGTGACTATAATTAGAATGTTGGCGGTAAATCATCTAAATTTTGAATTATTGTGACTTACATATAATCAGTACTTATTAAGTATATATATGTATGATTATTATGTGAATTTATAGTAATTATTAGTTGTGCATTTATATGATTAAGTAAATGAATTGTACATGTAGTATGTGAAAACTATGTCTACTTTAATGATATCTTAAGCATGTTGATGAATAATAGTACGCCATTGTGCTTTAGTAAGTATATGAATAAAAGTAAATGATTGTCAAGAATTATAACCAACAATCAAGAATATCGATATTTAACGTGGTATCCCCGAGTATCAAGACTAATCCACGGGAGAGACTGTGATATCTAAAGATCCACTATAATCGTATGCCTCGTTAGGTTACAATCGGCTAACTCTAGGTTATTATATATATGAGTAGAATCACGGCTAAGCTAATTACATCCGACTTAAACATAGTTTGGTTAATTACAGTTTTGTACTCAAGACTATAAACTTCAACACCCTTCCTCAAATTGATGTGTGGTATGCAACATCAATTTGGATGATAAGTACCAATGCATACTTGACGCAACAATCTTCATCAGTAGATATGCAGTCTGATCCTCAGTCGAAAGATAGCCAACCTGTATTAACTCATCTGCTATCAATTGTCTGATGCAATGTACATGAACCTCAATCTGTTTGGTCGTATCATGAAGAAGTAGATTGATCGCAATATGTATCGCGCTCGTGTTATCCCCATATATATGCGCATTGGGACCTTATAATCAACGTACAACTCGCTTAATAACCGATGTAACCAAACTAGCTCGGAGCTTACCTCCGAAATCCACCTGTACTCTGCCTCTGTGGATGACATGGATACCCGATCTTGCTTTCGATACCACCAAGGTACAAAGGATTGACCCACCCGAACACACCATCCTGACGTTGACCACCGAGTACTTACACACCCAGCATAATCCGCATCAGCAAATGCCTCAATCGTAGGTCCAGCTTTGGCCGGGAAGAATAGGCCAACATCCTGCGTTTGCTTCAGATACCGCAAAAGTCCATGAATTTAGTGATGGCAATCGGGCGGGGCGGGGTGGATACCTCAATATCTATGCCCCGACCCATGCTACTGCGGGTTGAGGCAGACAATACCCGCGCGGGTACGAGGAGGAGCGGGTCGGCCTACTCTTATATGTTATATGAAAAACATATACGCAAAATTTTAGTTTATCAATAAAACAAAGGGGAAAACACTTTATGAATGAAAAATAGTGATAATAGAACGGGTAATTAAGTGTTACTAGTTGAAAGGTCGAGTCTAACTAGTTGAAGAAAAGTCAAAATATAATAAATATGGTAAGAAATTGAAGTGAAATGGGCCTAGAACTAGGCGGGGCAGCGCGAGTTGGAAGTAGATACCCATGCCCCGCCCCATGCTACTGCAGGTCGGGTAATACCCGCCCTATCGTAGGTCGGGTCGGGTAATACCCGCAAGGCGGGTTCAAATTGCCATCACAATATGAACTACAGCTAAATGCAGATTAGTAGCAACCCCTATGTACTAACTCACCACCTGAACCACATAAGATGTGTCTGGCCGAGTATGAGCTAAATAAATAAATAAATAAGACTTCCTACTAGGCTCCGGTAAACAGACTTATATAAACCTTGAGAAGTGCGATGAATCTCGAGTCCCAGGAAATAGGACACATCGCCCATCTCCTTCAAATTAAAAGCCTGCCTAAGAGCTGCAGTAACCTCTTGAATGCCACCCTTATCACTTCCCATGATGATCATATCATCTACATATATCAATAAAACCACAATACCATCAACCGTGACCCTCGTGAACAATGATGGATCATTCTGGCTTTGAGAAAACCAGACTGCAGAATTGTCCCATGAAACTTTTTGAACCACACTCGAGGTGCATGTTTCAAACCATACAGAGAGCGCTTCAGCCTGCAAACCATAAGAGAATCACCCTTCTCATAACCTGGTGGTCTCTCCATGTATATCAATTTTTTAAGATCACCGTGAAGAAAGGCATTCTTCACATCAAGTTGAAGAAGAGACCATCCTTTCATTGCGGAAACCGCAAACACACAGAGAACAGTTTGCATCTTCACTACTGGAGTAAATGTCTCCTCATAATCAATACCATACTCCTGTTTGAATCCTTGTGCAAAAAAACAAGCCTTAAACTGCTCAACAGTACCATCAGGATACATCTTGATGCATAAACCCACCTATTGTCGATGACCAACATATCGTCGCAACGTGGAACAAGATCCCGAGTCTAGTTTTCTTCAAGAGCATCCATCTCCACATGCATGTCAGCATTCCATCTGGGATCATGAGCTGCCTGGGAGTAGCAACTCGAAATAACAACAGGAAAAGTCAAGAATCCCACGAATTTGTGCATGCGGAGAGGTGGCTGCCCTAAAGTGGCTCGAGTCAATCTACGCAAAGGAAGGGGTTGTTGTACTGGGGATAGAGAGGGGTCTGAACCTGCGGAATCATTTTCCAAAGACGATCTAGAGGAGGACATGCTGGAGTGCGCTCCTTAACGAAGACGAGCTAGAGTTGATGGATCATGTAGTCGACGTGCCATTGGGAAGTGGAGATGATTCTCCACTTTGAGAGCTAGAGCTAGACAAACTAAATGTCATAGTGGGTGTCATGACCGGTGGCATGGGATCAAAGTGGCCAAAGAAGTGAGAAATTCCAATGGTTCCGCAAAACTAGCTTCCACATGAGACGCCTGATATACATATCCTTCTCCATACATGATTCTGGCCCAAATGTACACATTTTACCCCTCATTTCTTATTCATTTAGTTTAGTATTTCATCGTTCCTTGACATATTTCACGCTAGGTTGTGCTTGTTTTGATACATTTCAGGTCTTAGCACATGTGGAAGGGTCGAGGACGAGTTTTGGGATATTTGGAGGTCAAAAAGTGCAAAAACTGAAGAAAATTCCGAAGAGACCGTGACAATTCCCTCGTAACAGCGAAGTGAAGGCGTCACAGGAAACAACCGCAGTTCACTGGCGGATAAGGCAGTTCACGATCTCCTAAGACCGTGAAGAGGAGGCATGGCCGTGAACATCAAGGCGTCCAGGGCCAAATCCGAAGTTACTGATGCCAGGCGAGTTCACGGTCTCTAAGACCGTGAACTGGGTCCATTGTCTGTGAACCCAACAGAGTGAAGCGACGCATTTTGGAGACGACGGAGTTCACGGACGCGTTTAGGTGTTAATGACCATGAACTGGTTTTTGGGTAAGAAACACTTTCTTTCTCTAGGGTTTCAACCTAAACACCAAACGGGGGTTCTAGTGAGAGAGAGAGAGAGAGTGCTAGAGTGATCTTGGAGCATCATAGGAGGCTTGGGTGGAGGATTCAAACCTACAAGAAGAAGAAGAAGATCTTGAGCTCAAATTTGTAATCCCTCTCTCTCTCCCTAGAAACTCACTCTTTTCTCTTGGGTGTTGTAGATCCCTAACTAATACTTTGTAATTACTTGTTTAGATTGAACGATTAAGTGTGGGTTTGCATCAATTTTAGTATTAGAGGTGTTTTCATGGTGATTGTGCATGCTTGTGCTTAGCAATCTAAGGGTTATGCATAATTGTGCTTAGCACCCTTAGGTTTGTGCATGTTTCCTTCCGCTTTCTAAGCCACCTAAACTAGGTTAAGTTAGGGCGACCCTCAATATTGAGTTAAGCAAGTCGATTAATCGTGATTAAACCATCCGACCTTAGATTTGAGTGAGGGAGTAAGTCAATTACTGATTGTCTAAACCGAGAGGGTCGAGTGACACGGCCTTTCATCCTTACCTCGGTTTAGCAATTGAGACTGTGGTCTCCGACCACATATGCATTCCTCTGCGGTTCACGATTCACGTCCCCAAGGCAATCGTTTCAATCCAACGAATCATGGTAGCTAGTTAGGGGAAAGCGATTCCTGGGTGAAGCTCCATTAGTTAGAATTTTCCTTTATTTACCTTTCTCTGCTTGGTTAGTTTGTAGGTTTAATAAACCTAAACCCTAAAGTTGCTTGCTAGATAACAACTTAAGCGATCGAAGTAGGGGTACATGGGCCGGCCCGGGTTGACAATTTAAATACTTGCTCTATACTGCACCCGGGTAGAGTTTAACAACTTGGACTCTATTCGGGATTAATTTGTGGTGTATTTTCGTGCGTGATGGGTGACCGGCGGGGAGACGTGGTAGGCTAGGAGGGTGTCATGGGCTTTGGGGGTTTTTGGGTTTACGTAATTTCATGGGCTAGGGTTAGGTCGGCGAATGCCGAGTTCGACTAGGGTTGGGAAATTATTAGGGTTACGTATTATATATATGTAAGATGGGCATTAGTCTGGGTATCGAATAATAAAACTAAAGGTTTATCGACACCAAAGACATTCTCTCGTTCGTGAGTTACGAGCAACCCTTCAGTCGTGGGTATCGACTCATCAAATTGGTATCATAGCCTGATTTTCACGACATCCGGATTCGGTAGATGGCGAGTTCATATCAGTTGATCCATGATATGATAGAAGACCAAGAGTATCTTGATTTTCTCGAGGAGCAAGAAAACCCGAACCCACGGGTACCCACCCGACCCAACCCGGTCAATGCGGGTAAAATCCGTGTTGACGGGTTTTGGGTCGGGTTTGGGTTTAAACTCATTCACTATTCACCGGGTTGGGTTGATTTTGGGTTTAGACTAACCCGCCCACACCCATATAATTAATTTTCTCGGTATATTTAATATTCTAAACAACTAATCTTATTTATGTTTGTGGAGACATGTCTAATTTTTTCTTTCTAATTGTGTAGAATGAAGTTGATGTTATAGAGTGGAGAGTGAAGAAACTTAATTGAAAGGAAGAAGCTTTCAATTAATCATGTTATTTATGGATAATTTGTGATTTGCTTCAATTTTCTTGAGTTTTCTAGATTGGTGTTGAACAATTTGTATAGTTAATTTGTGATTTGCTTTAATTTTCTAGAATGGTGTTTTATATATGGATAATTTCTATTGAGAGATTGATATTTGACTTTAATGTTGATAGGAACTTGTTATTGTAAATTTTTTACGACGAAAACCTGTGGATACCCATGAACCCGCGGGTACCCAGCGGGTTGGGTTTGAGTTTTTCAAACCCAGTGGGTTTACCCCAGGTTTTTTTCACGGATAAACCCATGGATTTGGGCTTGGGTTTGGCAAAACCCGGCCCAACCCGACCCATTGCCATCCCTATACACCGTGGTGGTCACCACCTCGGCGAGGCTCACACCTATCGATTCCGAAGCTGCGAGAAGGAGGAGTTTGTAGTTGGCGTTCAGCTCAAGAAAGCGTTCACGATTGGAGTACAAACCGTGAAAGACGAAGCGACTATGGGCAGCGTGGAAGTTTTGGTGCCACACAAAGAGGCTCCATTCAAAACTGAGTCACCATCGCTCAATTTGCAGGTTGGGGATGGAAATTGTGAGAAAGAAGCGTCCAAGGAAGGTGGGGGTTCTGTTGGGAAAAGTTATCCTCCAATAATTGGAGGGCATACTCTTTCTTTGGACCAGGACGAGGGTGATTGTGGAGATTTTTCAGGATTCCTTTTGATCCGCCTAACCACTAGCTATTTCAATGAACCTGCCATGTTCGCACTCCCAACAAGGTGCGCAATGTTCCTTGCTGCAGCCCATACGAGAAAGAAGGTCAGGATCCAAGCTGCGAGCTGGAAGTTTCGGAGGCGACACAACTTCTGCCATTGGAAGAGTTGTAGTTGCTATCGTCGTCGTCCTCCGCGATTCGTCGACTGCCAACCTTGGGGACAAGGTTGATTTCTAGGGGAAGGAATGATGGGTACACGTCGGAGGTTAGGAGCTCAACCCATGATAGGTATTAGTATATGGGCTTAGTAGGTTTACGTAATTAGTTCATTGGTTAGAGTTGTTAGTAGGGTTACGTATGTGGGCTATTAGTGATTAATGCATGGGCCAACATAGGTTATTATGTTGGTGTCTTTCTATTTGAGTAGTTGTCGAGTGGGCTAGGATAGCGTAGGGTTCGGGTTAGCTAGGGTTACGTATTAGGTTTAATCGCCTATATATTGTAACTACGGCATTAGTCCGAATAATCAATCAATAGCAAGCCTAAAAGTCTTTCGACACTTACGTCATTCTCCTGCTCGTGAGTTTCGAGCAAACCCTTGGAACGTGGGTTATATTTCCATCAAATTGGTATCAGAGCCTGGCGTGAGTATCTCGGCCAAGGTGGGTATAGCATGCGAGAGGTGTACCGCGTTGGAGGGCGTGCAGGCGTAGCTCAGCGCGGCCGTTGAGGATCTCTCCCTGCACACGACGGCGGTGGAGACGCTATTGCAGGACGTTTTGGACCAGCTGAAGGTCCTGGCCGCCCAGCAAACGGAGGTGATGGGGCGCTCCGGCGCAAAGGAGAAAGGGGTTCTGGAGATGAGCGGGGAGGAAGAGAGCGGGAGGAGAAGAGCGCCACCAAGGAGACCACGGTGGAGGGGCCGGATTGGCGCCTCGGGAGTTCTGTCAAGGGCAGCAGCGGCGATGAATGCGGGAGTTGCGGCGGCGAACGGGGCAACGGTGGTGAGTCAAGGAGTGTTGATGGGGGGTACCTTCCTGGCGAAGCTAGCCCGCCTAGAGTTTGGCAAGTTCTCCGGGGACGATCCGGGGGTTTGGTTTCCGAGGGTCGAACAATTTTTCGAGTTTCAGGAGGTGCCAGCAGATCAACGGGTGTCGTTGGCTTCCTTCCATCTAGAGGGCGAGGCTAACCAATGGTGGCAGTGGCTGAAAAGGACTTACAAGGACACCGGGGAGCCGATTTCATGGGAGTTGTTCGCACAGGAGCTATGGGCAAGGTACGGACCAACAGAAGGTGAGAGTTGTGACGAGGCCCTGTCTCGGATCCGACAATTAGGAACACTGCGCGATTACTAGCGTGAGTTCGAAAAACTGGCCAATCGATGCGTAGGATGGACGCAGCAAGCCCTGGTGGGCACATATTTGGGAGGATTGAAGTCCAAAATTGATGATGAAATTAGGATGTTCCGTCCAACAACATTGCGCGATGCAATTAGCCTCGCACGTATGAAAAACGATCAACTGCAGCGCCACCGTCCGCCATCGCGAGCACCATCCTCAGCTGGCCAAGGGTACGGCAGTGGGGTGCCGCCGAGAGCTGCTAACACGGCTCTTGGAGGAAATTCGAGGTGTCGCGGGGTCTGGGTCCCAGAAAACGGCTTAGCTAGGAAGAGCAGCAAATTCGTCACGGTCAAGGTCTGTGTTTTAATTGCGACGAACTATTCGCCATTGGCCATAAGTGTGGAACGACGAAGGTTATGTGTCTCTTCGAGGAAGAGGATGGCGAGGGTCAACCTATGGGACAAGGTTGATTTTCGAGAGGGGTGTAATGAGGGGTGACCTGCGGGTAGGCGTGGTCGGCTAGGAGGGTGTCATGGGCTTTGGGAGTTTTTGGGTTTACGTAATTGCATGGGTTGGGGTTAGGTCGGTGGATGCCGAGTTCGACTAGGGTAGGGAAATTATTAGGGTTACGTATTATATATATGTAAGTTCGGCATTAGTCCGAGTATCGAGTAATGAAATTAAAGGTTTATCGACGCCCAAGTCGTTCTCCCGTTCGTGAGTTACGAGCAACCCTTGAGTCGTGGGTATAGACTCATCAGTGCGAGTCAATACACTTAACTTGACATGCAATTCCCATACGCCTGCCAATTGGGTCATAGCACAAATAACCTTTCTACTTGTCATTATAACCAACAAATACACAACGTGTCACATTGGGAGCCAACTTATGACGCTCTTTCCTAGGCAAAAGAACAAAGCAGGTACAACCAAACACTCGAAACGACGAATAATCAAGATATTTCATGTAAAGAACTTGATATGGAGATTTCTGTCCCAACAGAGGCGTAATCTGACGATTGATCAAATAAACTATATGGGTAAATTGCAAGTTTGGTCACTGGAATTGCTTAAAAAGTTCACGTTTGCCACTGAAATTAATTTATTCCATCCGTAGTCACTAAGATTAGTATAACCGTTCAAGTTCGGTCACTCTCCGTTAGTCTCCATTAACTTTATCTGAGGTGGCAGTCAACTCTGAGAGTTGACAGTTAAATAAGTGACGTGACAATTAAAAAATATGTAAAAATAAAAATTATTATTTAAAAAATTCCACTTCATTATCACAATAAATTAAAAAATAAATAATATTACAATATCAAAAAATGCAAAATTGAAAAAAAAAAATCCTTATTTTTGTCATCTCGATTGAGCCATTCTGATCCAGGGATAGTTACAACTCCATAGCCCCCGCTCCCGGACTTCAACACCTTCCAATCCATTATCATCATCGATCAATCAATTCCTTCTCTCGCGGGTTTACATTTTTCAAAGCTTCGGATTCGGGCTAAAATGGAGCTTTTGGTGATCGTGACTTCTCAGGGGACGTTTTGTGGCGGCGGGGAGTTGGTGCCTTGCAGGGAGCTGAGATTTTGCATACCCACAAGGAACGGAGCCCCTCTCAACCTCTTCGATCAAAATTCCTGTCGTAGATGCAAACTTCTCGCCTACAGCTCACCCTCACCACCTCCGCCCAATCTGAACCCGTCCAGTTCGATAGCTTTCCCGTTCACAAGCTCGCAAAAAGACCCAATTCGGTAAGAAACTTCCATTAATTTTCCTTTCTGTTTCTTGAATTGATTTTTTCGATCTTCATGCATCATGCTTCTAAGGTGTTTGATGATTTGCGGCAATGGGTTCTGATTCGTTTTGTTCTTGTGTTTTTTTTGTGCTATCGCCAGATTAATAGAGTAAGGCTATTTGTTGGGTGCGTTGGATGTGGTCTCTGATTCTCATTCGCCAAATCCGCCGCCGCCCAGTTGCTTCTGGCGAAAACACAACTCCCCTGTTCCGGTGCAGCAGAAACAGAGGACCTTACACTCGCCAGAGCAGAGACTGGAATCGTCCCCATTCCAGTAGCCGCCACGATCGACAGCTCTGATTGCTGAAGAAGCCACAAGATTGTCTCTCCATCGAATTTATGGCCCAATTCTGAGTCAGCTGTAAGATTTGTGCAACGCAAAGAGCTAGCATCTGAATCCTTCTTCCTCTTCCGTCCACTTTCTTGTGCCTGTCTTTGTTGGAACTTCTCTTGGGAGCTAATTGCCGCTTCTTGTTGTTGGTGTTGCTGTCTTTGATCTCAACTAATTATTGTTGGTGGCGGTGCTTAAAGTTAACGGGTTTTTTTGGTGTAGCTGTTGAATCCTTATCCAACTTGAAGCCTTGAACCCCCATCGTTTTCTTCTCTTTGTTATTGCAATTATTTTTTATTAAATATTAATTTATTGTGCTTGATGTCCTCTCTTTGTTATTGCAGTTTATTCGGCTGTATCAAGCGGGGACAACTATAGAGGGCGGCGAGTGGCTTGCCAAGCAGAGGTGTCGCGGCGAGGTCGGGGAGTTGATAGACTTCCGGATATATTGAGATTATGTCTTGGACTGGAAAAGAAGCGAAGATGTGGAACTGACAACGGAGAATAATTGTAAAAGATTTATTTTAATTGATTTTTATACTGAGATGGAAATTGTAAAAGATTTTATTTTATTTTTTGCCACGTCACTCATTTAACAGTTAACTATCAGAGTTGACTGCCACATCAGAAAAAGTTAAAGGAGAGTGACCAAACTTGAACAGTTATACTAATCTTAGTGACTACGGATGAAATAAATTAATTTCAGTGGCGAACGTGAACTTTTTAAGTAATTCAAAAAAGTGACCAAACTTGCAATTTACCCTAAACTATAGTGTGCACTGTCTCCGCCCAAAACTTCATCGGAACTTCAAAGTAGAACAGGATAGCATGAGTGAGTTCTAACACATGCTTGTGCTTGCGCTCGACTACCCCATTTTGTTTTGACACCCCAGGACAAGACTGTTGTGGAAGAATATCATCTTCCTTAAAGTTCAAAAGAAGCTCATTAGAATGTAGAACCTTAATCGTCTTACCAAACTAGGTCTTTACCATCTAAATAAATTCCCCTGCAACCAATGCCAAGTCCGATTTTTGCTTCAAAAAATATACCCAGGTATATCTAGTCATATGATAAATGAATAACGCAAAATATCAAAAGCCCATGCGAGAGAGAACGGGAGATGGCCCCCAGAGATCAATGTGAACCAAAACAAAAGGTTCATCATACACTATCTCGCCAGGCGAGAAGGAAATCTGAGAAGCTTTATCCTCAATGCAGCTTACACAATCAGAAATACCAGTCAACTTCAACACATCCAATTTATCCAGCAACAAATTCTTTCTAAACATAGCCTTTAGCTGTCCCGAACGAGAATGACCCAATCTATTATGCCACAATCCCACAAAGAATTGCCAACTGAAATATCCAAACTAAAAGCCGAACACCCAATAGAAGTACTATCTTTAGAAGACCTCAAATTATCAGAAGCACAAAACTCCCATGACCCGCCACCATAGTCACCCCAAGTCTTCCCTCCATGGTCCACGCATGATCAGCCACACCTGCCTAGCCTTATCCACACCAAGGAATTCCTCGAGAACATACGTACGACCAGCTTTACTTTTGCGCCTGATCACCCTCCTCGTCGTCCGATCTTACACAACACAACCAGTGGAATCGAAGAGGACATTACAGCCATCCTTCGTCAATTGACCCGCAGAGACTAAATTCGGACGAAGTTGAGGCACATAAAGAGTGTTGGGAAGAGTGATCGAGCCCGTGCAAACTGTTCCCGACCCATAAAGAGGAATTGTCGCACCATTAGCCACTTCAAGATGCATGGAGCAAACCGGACTCATGGTCGTAAACGCAGGTCGATCACGCGCATGTGATTAAACGCTACAGAATCTAAGAGCTAGTGAGAGGACTTACTAGGGTGAACTATTGTGGCAAAGGCATTGGAGAGTGCCTCCTGCAGAGCTTCTTGGACAAGACGTCGAATTTGATCCGGAGACAGCGAAGGAGCAGAACCCACCCCAGAGGTTGAGCCATCCGAGGAGCTAATACTAACCGGATAGGCCGAACCATGCGAGGAAGACGGACCAGCAAAAGGAATCGGATGAAGGTTATTGCGTCTGCTCAAAGTCGGACAGTCCAACACAATATGTCTAGTACACTTGTAGTAATTACAAAAATTCTGCTTCTTATAGTGGATCTGAATATGACCAAGTTCACGATAAAAGTGAAAATTACCTCCCCAGACGCCGGTTTGGTAAAGTACAGGCGAGAAGTCATAGCGGGACGTCCAACCGCGAAGACCGACTTAGCAGAAGAACCTACACTGTCAATCTGCGATTGACTTTTAAGTCCAGTCTCCTCCCGCATCAACTCAGCAACCACATCATCAATGCTAGAGACACCCTGATGAATCAATGAAGCCCAAATTGGTTCAAACTCTGACCGAAGCTTAGCAAGAAATTGGAGAACTTGAGTGCGACTATGTTCGGCGAGAACAACCGCAGAAGCCACATCAGACACAAGAGAAGCAATCAACAGGTCATACTCCGTCCAGAGATGGAGACAATCTTGATAATACTCGGGAATATCTCATCACCTTGGTAAGACTTCCTATCTCAGTCTCCAGCTCAAACTGTCGCAATGCACTATGCTGAGCATAAGTCGAACACAGGTGACGCCACATCTCATGAGCTGTGGCAAACCGACAAAGACTCAAAGCACTAGGAATGTCCATAGACCCAAGAAGCCAAGTAATGAGCCGGGTGTTACCAGCCGCCCAGTCCACCACCGCGCGAGCCTCCGCATCAGCCTCAGGCTGTTTTGTTTCACCTATCAAGATAGAGAGCAGTCGCTGCCCAGCAACAAAATTGCATAATTGAAACTCCCATATGGCAAAGTTCTTGCCATCAAACTTAATAGACACGGAATCCATCTTAGAAATATTCATCAAACACACGATGCTGGACAAACAGGTAGACAAAAATACCAAACAATCCAAGCACCGAACAACCAATACTAGCCCCGACGAAACCTGTAGCAGTAGCCAAAATCTCCGACCCACACAGAACTAGACCAACGGCGAAGGGACCCTAATGCCATAGAAACCAAACCGCCGAGTGAAGAACAAACTAACCATTTAGAGCAGAGGCTCTGATACCATATGTACGGGAAAAATGGCCTCTTGCAACACCCACAAATGTGTTGCGTTATGTCTTAAAAGAGTTGCGAAAACCTATCGCAACACTTTTGGTAGGGTTGCATATATTGGGGGTTGCAAAAGGAATAGGCAATAGTTTTTTCATTTTTCACAACCCAAATATAAAGGGTTGTGCATCCTTACCTCTTACGCAACACCACATTAGGCAACACATTTCACAATTTTTGCACACATTTTTGTAAAATGGACAATGGTTTTTTGTAACTTTTGCCAACAGTAAAATTTGTATATGTGACGTGTTTAAATCGTCACAAATAATTAACTCAGTTGAGACAACATTGTTCGTAACGAAAATAAGAACTTGCGCGACAATATTATCGTCAATAAAAATTCATTTTGTGACGAGGTAGTCCAGTCACGAAAACTACCATTGTGACATGTCTAATTGTCACGAATAGATACACGTGTGACCATAATTATGTCACAAATCCACACTGTGAAATTCCAAGTAAGATTTAGGGGTCGAGTTGGTTGTCACTAAAGTAGGGGTGGTAATCGTTCGGTTATCAGTTAAACCGGTAACCGACTAACCTGTTATCGGTATACCGACAGAGGCCATGTGTGGATTGAATACCGATACCGGTTTGTAGCCGGTTAACGGTGACAAACCGGTTATACCGACTAACCGCGGAGGGGATAAATCATAAAAGTGAATTCTGGAGATGGATCGGGCGATCTGGAAATCGACGGGACGGTAGCGGCGGGTGTAGGGACGGCAGCGGCAGGTGTAGGGACGAGATGGTTCATCATCGGCGACCAGGGATAAGGAAGAAAGCTCGTCGTCATCGATGTGGCAGAGGAACCAACAGGGGCGGCAGAGAGGGGAGAGGCAGAGAGGGTCGGCGGAGGCAAAGTCGGAGTCAGAATGGGTTCTACCGTTCTGCTCCTTCCTTCTTAGTCGTCGCCGTCGCAGCCTTCCTCTGCTCCTCTTCCTCACGGATCACCTTCCTCGCCTGCTTCTCGGTGTTCTTATTTGCCCTCAAGATCGGCTCGTAGTAATCTGGGTTTTCATGAACAAACAGAATCTGCATTCTCCTTCTTCTTCCTCCTCGTCTCCCTCCTCATTCTCTGTTTCCGGCTTTGACTGCTCTGATTCTTCAACAGTAGTTTGTTGCTCCTCGGTAAGTATGGAATGGAAGCTGGAATGCCAACAGGCTTATCTGAGACGGGGAAGAAATTGGGTTGTGCAAATCGCCGGAAATTGTTGAAATTGCAGGCGGCGGAGAGGACTTCTCTAGGTGGGTAGGGTTCCCTTCCCTCTCCTCTTCAAACGTTGCTTCTCATTTTCCCATCCCTTGGCAGTATCCGGTTTACCGGAAAACCGTCGGTTATTTACCGAAAGTCAGACGCTATACCGGGTACAGCCAAATTCATTCCGTATACCGATACTGATCGTTTATCGGTTTGGTAAACGGTTAACCCGGTAACCAGATTACCGATTACCACACCTACACTAAAGTAACTATTTGTGACAAAGTTTACTGTCACGTATATCCCCTATGTGTGACAAATTTCAATCATCACTCACAATATACTTCTGTTACTGTCTAACTTCACAAAAAAATCATTTTGTACCATGTTTTGTTATCACGAAAACACCATACGTACCACGAACTGCCATCATTTGTGACCAAACTTTTGTTTCAGAAGGATATATTTGGCAACAACTTTAGTAATACCCCAAAAGCAGCATTGACGATAAATTTACAGCACGAGCTTCGCAAATCGCGTTCATTAGTAACAAACCTTTCATCGCAAAAGGTTAGCATTGATGACAACTTTGCGAGTCACTAATAAAGCAATGGTGATGCATCATTTAGTTATCACGAATGTATTTCTATATGACAATAAAATTATCTTTTCAGACTCCTTTTGTGACAAGGGTTGATGACATGAGTATACCCCAAACTGACGATAATGAATGTCCTACTAGAGTGTATTTTGTGACAAGATTTTAGGCCCATATAGTCATTAGTGTCAAGTTATACGTTGACCAAAAATATAGTTTGTGACAAGAATGGTCACCAAAATGAAGAAATCAAATTCACTAGATAATAAGGGAAAATTCTGAAACTCAAATTTGGCTGCTACTAATCCTAAATACTATTTGAAATCAATCAAAACCACAAATCTAACACTAATGAGAGGTTGCAGGATGCCTAAGATTCCCATCTTTGATTCGCTTTTCCTCATGCCATCTCATGTATCCAGCTGTTTTTGAAGACATAAACAACCTTTGGAGTCTCGATATCAAAGGAAAGTAGCGGAAAATCTTGGCAGCAACTTGTTTCCCAGAAACATTATCATCTTCACCACAATTGCCATCATCCTTGGGGGAACTTGTATCTAGACTAGCCACATTTTCTGCAA